TAGCTCAAACGCACAGGAAGAGGCATCATCCATACAGTGTTTCCCCTCTCTCCCCACCGCCTCCACCGTTTAGGATTATACAAACACATGCAGCGGGCGGGAGGCGGGGGTGTGCTGCCCGGTGCGAAACGCATGCACACACACATTCAGAGCTCGTGTTGCAATCGGAGGATAGCCCCGAGCTGTTAGCATTTGAGTCGTGCGTGTGTGCGTGTGTGTGTGCGTGCGTGTGTGCGTGCATGTATGGCGCGTGTGCGCGCGTGTGCGCGTGTGCGTGCATGTGCGTGCGTGCGTGCGCGTGTGTGCGTGCGTGTGTGCGTGCGCGTGTGTGTGTGTGTGCGTGCGCGTGTGTGTGTGCGCGTGTGCGTGCGTGCGTGTGTGCGTGCGTGCGTGTTTGCGTGTGTGCGTGCGTGTATGGCGCGTGTGTGCGTACGTGTGTGTGCGTACGTGTGTGTGTGTGCGTGTGTGTGTGCGTGCGTGTGTGCGTGCGTGCGTGTCTTGGGAACGGTGGCGCCGCAGTTGGCGCTGCCATTGGTAGCTCACAAAGCAATCGGAGGATAGCCCTGGGCTGTTGGCATTTGAGTCGTGGTGTCTGTTCTATGTGCGTGTGTGTGTACATTGCTTAGTGCAGTGGTGAGCGCACTGTTCCATAAACCAAGCAACTTAAATTACGTATCTATTTATATTACATTTGAAGTGTTGTCATTACTTTTTTATCTCATCTGGACCGGTCCTGGGGCTGGTGCTTTGCGCCAACATCAGCACACCAGGGGTGTGTGTGTGTCTGTTGAGCCTCTTTTGCACAATACGTAGCGTCGTGAGCGGCCATACCGCACCCCATTGTGCACGCTTACCAGCCCTCATAGGTGCTACTCACTAACAGCACTTGCCCCGAGAGTCTATGTGGGCTACACGGGGGATCTTTGTCCATGGTGTGCATGTGAGGATTTCCCTTCCTTCCTTCCTTGGAGTGGCACATGCAAATATTCTCCCGTGACACACAGGGTTTTAAGCAAACAAAGCATCTGTACTGGGTATTGACCCTTCAAGGCCTTCACCCAAGTTTACCTTTCCTTACACGTGTTCAATTAAACTGCCACTCTGGCTTTTACTGCTACGAAGCTCATGATCCACCCTAAATTGCATCCCCCCCTGCACAAACCACGGCAGATGCGGATACCTGATGCGCAAATGGAAAATGAAAAACTCTCCCAGTAGTAGTGTGCAACTGTGATCGTCCAGAACAAGACCGTACGACGTCCAGCGACGCAATGCCCGATCCACAAATACGGTGGAGACATCGCGACGATAATACGCGGTTTATCTGGCTTGCCCACCCGAATGTGCCGTTGTAGTCGTTGCTCTGCATCTATATCAGCCGTACGTCAACAAGAAGAAGACCTCCATGACGGTTTCATGCTTCACACACTGGGCTTGCAAGACAGAGGCCGCCAGTTTTTGTGATGGTGCAGGTTTCTCAAATCCTCCCCCCCCCATCTCCCGTCGTCTCTCTGCACCCAGCAGCATGCACGTGTTGACCACGCGTGGTGGGGTAAAGTGTGGGTAGCTCCCACCGCCTTAAAAAACATCAAGCCAGTGTTGAAAGAGTAGACCAAATGCCCTCAGGGATTCGCTAAAGCTTCCATTTTTTTCCCTCCCTCCGGCGTTAACGTAAGCGAATGATTGTGGGGCCGTGCACCTGTGTACCCTTTAAATTATCTCAATTAAATTGCCCTCTTCCCTGGCAGATGTCGATGAAACATGCCAGCAGTCATTAAAATCCGTGTTGGGAATGTGACTTTGTGGCGGTGACGATAATAGTTTGAATATGGCCATGGTTTAAATTTCGATTTAAAGCTTTCGTGACTGCAGGGATTCATCTTATTGGTTCTTTCGGTAAAGTCACGTAGAATGGAAATAATAAAATAATAAAAATAAAACATAATAAAATAATTCTCACGACGTTTCGGCCACAACGCAAGCAGCCGTCCTCAGGTGAAGACCAGGTCTGTCGAGTAGAGAGTCTGAATGTCCTGCTCTCCACCTGAGGACGGCTGCTTGCGTTGTGGCTGAAACGTCGTGAGAATTATTTTATTATGTTTTATTTTTTATGATTTTATTATTTCCATTCTACGTGACTTTACCGAAAGAACCAAGAAGATGGCCATGGTTTTCCCAAGAATGCTTCACCGGTTCCCAAGACCATGTGCGCTCCCCCCCCCCCCCCCCGCCATCAGATGTGCCCAATCTCATCAGCTCTCGTAAGCTCAGCAGGTTTGGGCCTGGTCAGCGCTTACATGGGTGACCACTATGCATAACTTTCTGTCGGCTGCGAAAACGGTGTTGTGTTGCAGCGGAACGCAGTGCGGCAATTAATTTTGTTTTACTGCTCCCTGCACTGACCAAGTATGTATACTCTTTGGTTGTTTCGGTAAAGTCACATAGGTGAAAATGAAAATAATAAAATAATAATCAAATAAAATAATAAAAAAATTAAAATAAAATAAAAATGAAAATAACTAAATTAAATCACGACGTTTCGGAAGCAACACAATTTGCTGGAGCAAATCATTTCTTGCTGTGGCTGTTCTACCTGATGACGGAGGCTTGCGTTGCTTCTGAAACGTCGTGATTTAATTTAGTTGTTTTCATTTTTATAAAATTTTATCTTTATTTATTTATTATTATTATTATTTATTTTCACCTACGTGACTTTACCGAAAGAACCAAAGAGTATGGATCCTTGCAGTCACGAAAACTTCAAATCTACAATTGACCAAGTATGGTCAAGCAATCGAGATGACCAGCCCGGCATGGTCCGGCAGTGGATTGGCATGTGGGCTATTAAGCATTGGATTGAAGATTCGAATTGTCACAATTCATTGAATCTCAAGAGTGGGTGGTGGGGCCACGTGGGGGGCTAAGGGTCTGTGGAGCGGACAGGTAAATAATGACACCGCTAATCCTCGGGTGGATTACGGTTTTTTTATATTTTGTCTCCTAGGTTCATGCAAGGTACCCCGGAAGCCCGGCTGTGTAATTGTTCTTCGAGGTCGGGTGCGTGTGATTTAACGAGTGTGTGTTTTAATGAAAGCTGACTTATTAAGTGCTCCGAGCCTCCGTAGGGCCGGGCAGAGCCACGGAGCTCTTACTTTATTGACCCCCGCGCACTAAGAGGCCCTGCGTGTGTAATATTAATGCGGCATCGATTGACGTTGCCTGGGCGTGCCGTTTTATTTTTTTAAAGCACGCGTTCTGATGTCATGTCGGGGGTTAGCGCAGGGCTGTTGCTACGATCTCGGCGACCCCGGGTTCGACTCCCGCTCACGGTCAACACCGGTGACGTATCTGAACCGGTCCTGGGCTTCCCCTAGGTCGACTCGGCCTCTAATGAGTACCTGGTGCGGTGTGTCAACATGGTTGTTGACCACCACCCCCTCGTGTCATGTGCCAGCCTTCATAGGTGCTGCTCACTAATAGCATTTACTTCAACAGCCTGTTAAGGCTACAAGGGGGATCTTTGTCCTTTGTGTGTTGTCGGAGGGCAGGGGAACTACATGGGGCAGATGAGCAACGCTCACAACAATGAGCGGAGCGTCGGGTGGATTAACGGTAGAATTGACACAGTGGGTGCATCTGCCAGTCATCTCAGTCAGTCAACTCATGGCACCTGCTGGGTCTGTTCCGTGACTTCCTGCCAGCGGGCCTTTGACACTTCACGTGGCCTCAAAGTGCACCTAGCTTGGCACAGGCGCTGTAGTGGCATCACCGCCACTTAGTGGTGAACGGCGGTGGTTGTTGTTGTCGTGTGTTGTCGGCCGCCCCAGTTAAACCTAAACAATTTGTATTTTACCAGCTAAGGCCTCACTGAGCTATGTAGCTATTTTTCAGAAGCGACCTGGCCACAAATGATAGCTCAACGAAGTGGCTTGTCACGTGGAAATGTATAGCAGCAGCCAAGTAATTTAAACGAGTGATGATTCTAAAAGTGGAGGGAAAAACCGGAAGACCCGGAGCAAAATCCACGCGACTACGAGGAGAGATATGCAAACTCCAAATATACGGGTGTCAGGGTCAGGATCAAACCCACGACCTCCTGTATACCACACAAGGGAGCTAACATCTCGCCAATGTGGCACCCCAGTTACACACCTACCGTGCCTGCCACAGTAGGTGCTCACTCATAGCATGGCTCAGTGGTAGGGGATGCTTGTGTGTTTGTGCGCATGTGTATTCATGTTCTTGTGTTTGTCTATCTGTGGGGGAGCGGTGGTGTAGCGGTTAGCGCACTGCGCTACGAACCCGCTGACCCGAGTTCGATTCCTGGTCACAGCCAATATTGGTGACTTATATCTGAATTGGTCTGATGCCTTCTCTAGATCAACTTGTCCTTAAATGAGTACCTGGTGCAGTTCGTATACGTCAGTCCTGGGGAAACAAAGGCGGCCGGCCATGGTGCTGGCCACATCACCCCCTCATGTGCTGTGCCGGCATTCATAGGTGCTCGCGAATAGCACTTGACCGAAAAGCCTGTCAACACTTATAGGGGTGGGCTTTTGTCTCTGTGCTTATACCCGTAGCCTATAACACCTGTATCGGTGCAACCCGTGTCTCTCTACCCCAGTATCTCCGTAGAAGAAAGACGGTCAACGGATCGTGCGCTTTTGTGGCCGTCACGGAACGCTCTTCCTTCTAGTATTTGGAAGCCACTGGAGCAATGCACTTTCAAATCTAGATTGAAAACTCTGTAGTTTAGAACTGCTTTTTGTGTTTAGTTAGGTAGGCTACGTACGGTGCGAAAGAAGTTCAACATGCCTCAATACACATTGTAACGCCTGTATCGGCTCGACTCGTATGTCTCTCTACCCGAGTATCTCCGTAGCCTGTAACACCTGCATCCGTAACAGAATCAGAAGTTTTATTTATCTTAGGAGAGCGACAAAGCTCTTGTTCACTCGACGCTCTCTAAGTCCCCCTCTCCGTGTGGCCGTTGTCAACAGGCTGCTCGACATCCCGCTCATCAGCATCATGCGGGGCCTGTGGTTCGTGGGCGGCTTCCACTGGGTCAAGGTGAAGGGCCGCCCGGCATCCACGGAGGAGGCCCCCATCGTTGCCGTGGCGCCGCACTCGTCATACTTCGACGCCATCCCCGTCACCATGGGGATGTCCTCCATCGTGGCCAAGAGCGAGAGCCAGGAGGTCCCCATCTGGGGCAGTGAGTCTCCTCTTCCTCCTCTTCCTCCTCCTCTTCCACCTGCTCCTCATCCTCCTCTCCGCATGTGACCTGTAAGACCGTGCCAGTGTCACGCTCCTATGGGGACGACTCACAGTCTTAACAGGGACCTATAACACCGCTTAGCCTAATTTGGTCCCATAACAAAAACAACTGTGAGTTTTAACAGCAACCGAGTATTATTGTACTCGTGTTATTACCATTGTTGTGCTTGTTTACCCAGGAAAGGCTCTCAGAGTCCCATGAATATTTTTCCAGAAGCCTCTGCCAAGTTTTCTTAGTTGAGGGGGGGGGGGCAGGCGTGATGGTTGCTATGTTTCATTCCAGTTAAGGTGTAATTCTTTCGAATTTTGCTAAATATGGACTGTGACCCCGGCACAATGGCCTACTCTAGCGAGTGACATTGCGGGGACATTTAACGTGCCGCTGCGAAGCGATCGGCACATACTAACAGGGCCCCCCAACACGACGTTGCCCTCCAGGGTCTCTGTAAATCGTCCAGGGTGCTTAAGGGGAGAACAACTCGGGTCTAAAATCCTCGCCGGGTCGTTATAGAGGCATCCCCTTATGGTCTAATATGGCCGTCACAAGAGCCTTTACCAGCTTATAACCCTAAACCGCATCTTCACAAACCACGGCAGCAGATGTCCGTACTAGATGCGCGAGTGGAAAATGTAAATCTCTCTCCGGCAGCGTGCGGAGACTGCGGTCACCGCACATGACTCGGCCACGGAACTTCGGGGCTTACGGGCGGTCGCCGTTTTCACGACGGTACAACGCTTCCTGGAAACCCCGCGTCGTCGTAAATGGGATTGTCGTGAAGCCGGAACGCCCGTTGTCCCGTAGGCGGTAGAGACGGTGTTGTTTTTTTCCTTTTATCAGCCGAATTTGAACGGGGTTTAAGCGGTGAACATCATCCACAACACCACTTGAGAAGAACGAAAGCTCCATGCCAAAGTCACGTCAGAAACCAGACAGACTCTGTTCACATGCGTTCGAAGTCGCGTCGGAAGATGCGTCCTAAATCAAGTTTCTGTAGAATCGATTCACGGTGCCGTTATTATATAAACATCGTAAATGTGGATAGTCGTCGTAAATCGAACAGCCGTAAATCGTAACGACTCCCAATTTTCCAATTCACAACTAAGGAGGAGGAGGCATCATCCCAGCAGTGATGATTCACCACTCCGCTGCTAATCCTGACGCAATCGTCCGGCACAACCATCTCGATGTTGAATCATGAAGACAGCGCCATACCACCTCGCGGTAACCCTCTTTGGATGACTCCTTTACATAACCCTCGCTACGTCCATTGGGAGCTTGGAGATATGGCCCCGTGCCACCGCGGCCGGTAGAGGCTGTGAGCACGAGCCGTGGCGTCGTGGTTAATCGATCGAGGGCGGCGGCGGTGGTGGCGGCGTTGCGTGTGCGGGGCACAGCGCCATGTGTGTTTGTCCATGTGCGTTTGTCCACGTGCGTTTGTCCACGTGCGTTTGTCCACGTGTGTATGTCCACGTGTGTTTGTCCACGTGTGTTTGTCCACGTGTGTTTGTCCACGAGTGTTTGTCCACGTGTGTTTGCCCACGTGTGTTTGTCCACGTGTGTTTGTATCATGTGTGTTTGTCCACGTGTGTTTGTCCACGTGTTTGTCCACGTGTGTTTGTCCACGTGTTTGTCCACGTGTGTTTGTCCACGTGCGTTTGTCCACGGTGCGTTTGTCTATGTGTGTGCGTGGTACTGGGGAGCCGTAGTGCAACGGGGCTAGCACACTGCGACGAACCAGGCCACCGAAGTTGAATTCCCGCTCACAGCCACCAACACCGGTGACGATGATATGAACCGGTCCTGGGACTCCCCTAGGTGGACTCAGCCTCAAGTGAGTACCTGGTACGGTGTATAAACATCAGCAGTGGGGGAGAGACAAAGGTGGCCGGGTGCAGTGCTGTTTGCCACGCCGCCACCTCCCTCGTATGCCGTGTCGGCCTTCATAGGTACGCGCTTAACAGCGCTTGCCCTGACAGGCGGTTGTTGGAGGCGATACGGACGATCGTCTTGGTGGGGCGCCGCGCCATGGCACGTCACAAGGATGGGACACGTCCAGAACGCATTCCAGCATTTTCGTAAAGACGCACAACGATGGGAAGCACATGGGATGGGTAGAAAATAGCATCAGGCTCCATTCGGCAGAATGCCATCAAAGTCACGATGATGATGATGATAATTACAATAATGGCCTTTGTCTTTATCTGGATTGAAAACTAATTTGTTCAGAAGTGCTTATTTGTGTTTAGTTTGTTGTCTTTCCACCGCACCTCCGTTTAGCACGGTTGGCTACGTGCGGTGTGAAAGATGTTCAACATACATCTATATATATAAAAAAGGGAAATTTGTGAATGTGTGTCTGTTGGAAATGTTTAGCATACTTCCCAACATGCAACAAACTTGAAAGTTGGCATGTGGGCAGCTTCCAGACTGTACACAATGCAAAAAGTATAAAAATAGACTTTGTATTTTGGGGGGGGGGCCCAATAATGGATATATTTTGCACAGCAAGTGAGCGGTGACGTCACATCTGTGATGTCACACAAGTCTCGGGCGAAGCCGGGTAGTAAAGCTAGTAGTACATATATATATCCCGAAGAGCCTCACTGACTACCAGGACTCGTGTTGGCGGCAGGGTGGCACGAGTGGTAACGCTCGCTCCTCGCAGCAAGAACGGCCTGGGTTCGATTCTCAACACTGGCGGCTTTCTCTGTCTAGTTTGTGTGTACTCCTCCCTGTGGGCGCAAGTGCTGTTAGTGAGCTTCTATGAAGGCCGGCATGGCACGCGATGGGGGTGGGTGACCAGCACCACGCCCAGCCGCCTTTGTCTCCCCAGTAACGATATTCCTTTGGCACTCATTTGAGGCTGAGTCGACCTATGGGAGACCCTGGACCGGTTCAGATAATCGTCACTGGTGTTGGCCGTGAGCAGGAATCGGATTCTGGTCGCCGGGTTCGTAGCGCAGCGTAGCGCTAACCGCTACACCACCGCTTCCCACACACTGACACACAAAGACAAAGATCCCCCGTGTAGCCCTAACAGACTGTTGGGGCAAGTGCTGCTAGCGAGCACCTTTAAAGACCGGCACGGAACACCATGCCCGGCCGCCTTTGTGGTTGCGCAGCACGCAACCACTGCACCACCACTCCCCACAATATTTACACACACTTACAGACTATGACTCGCTACTCAACTCCACACTTTCGGCAATTCACATCCCGATCCACGAGGTCAAAACAGCGCTGGCAAAGCATTCGCCTTCATTGGAGCTCCTCGGCACGTCGGGGCATCTTCACTTTCATATCTACGTACGTTGAACCTCTTTCGCAACGTACGTGCCAATCGGGGGTGCGGAAAGGACGACCAACTAATCACGCGAAAAAATTCACCCAGATCTCCTGCGACCTCGGATGCCAAGCAGAGCTTCGAGTCGAGAGTATGTTTGAATGTTTCAGTGGCCACTCAAGTCAGCTTTATTTCACACGTGTAGGTGTGTAGGCTTTCCGGAAGTTAGATGTGTTTCGATAGCAGAGGTTCGCGGTTCGAATTCGGCAGGCTGCCCTGGTTATTACTGCACGCTCGAGGAGGTTGACCTCCCCCTTTGGGGTCAAGCTCCCGAGTGTGTACATCTCTGGGCTTGGTGCTGTGCAACCACCAGGGTGACCAATGTTGCCAGATTGGGCCAGATTGTAATCTGCCCCCGCCCGCCGCTGCCAACTGTTCGATTGCAACAGAAAAACAAAAACTCAACGTCGTGCTTTCTTCCAGGCCTCGATGCTCGCATTTGTGCGCGCGATGGTTCGGTCAGTCGGCCGGCCAGCCACTCTGTTTCCGTCGAGGAGAAGTCGGGATAGAAAGTACGATCTTGATTTGAAGCTTTCGTGACTGCAGGAATCTCCATACTCTTTGGTTCTTTCGGTAAAACCACGTAGGTAGACGTTTCGATCGTAACACAAGCAGCCGTCATCAGGTGAGACGAACACAGCGGGATAATTGCTGGCGCAGGACTATGAGCTGCTCCTACTTCAGCTGTTCCTCTGCTGTGTTTGTTTCACAAAATACAAATAAAAAAAAAAATCAGATTTAAGCGAATTTGATTAAATGAGTAGCTTTGTCGTCGTCATCAGTCATGATCAATCCACTGCTGGATGAAGGCCTTTGCTTGCGTTATTTTCTAATCACCCGGGTACCTGCGCCCGAGCCGATTTAATTGCTCCGCGTCAGAGGTCGCAAACGGGTTTTGATTCCTTACCCGTACCCGGCCGCACCAGGGTCGCAAACGGGTACCCGTACCCGTACCCGGCCGTATCGGGTACCCGATTGCGACCTCTGGGATGAAGCCATGTTGCAGGCGCGGGTGGGTTGATTCTAGGAACTTGAATTGTGAGAAGAGACAAGACGTTGGGAAATGAGTGACAAACAGTTACTCACCAGTGACTCACGGTCTACCCGTACCCGTACCCGGCCGCACCAGGGTCGCAAACGGGTACCCGTACCCGGCCGGGTATGGGTAGCTGGGTATCGGGTAGGGTACGGGTATCGGGTACCCGGTTGCGACCTCTGCTCCACGTCTGTGGTGGGGATCCTCTCAGATGGGTTTCGGTCCCCACCCCCCATCCTTTGTCTGACATTCCTTGACGAGTCTCGCCCATCGGCCAACTCGCCCTCTCTCTTAACGGCGCATGTCCTGGCCGAGCCCGCCTGCTTTTCTCAACTCTCAACGTGACGTCTCTGATTTGTGTCCGTTCTCAAATCCACGTGTTCCTCTTCCCCCCCCCGTCTCTCAATGTAAATCCAAGGTATGCAACCCTCCACGCGTCTGGGTGGCAGGGTGGCGCTGTGGTTTCCCTTCCATTTACAATCGACATCACTACGCACGCGTTCAGAGTGCTTGGCCGCTATACATTTCCACGTGATCATAAGCCACTTCGTTGAGCTA